ACCGGGTTCGAGTATCGCCCGGAGTGCTGATGTGACCTAGGCGAGGTCAAAACTGTAGTCCACTCTGGATGATAAGACCTTTTTGGGGGCAAGGCTATGTGAGATTAAATGGAAACGTAAGAACTATTCATATAATTGTGATAAAATGCCTCGCCTTAAACGAAATTGGGCGAATACAGTTTTTAGAAAAAGTATATACAGAGCTACCTGATGCTCATGGCGATGACGTCACATCTGACGCGGAAATGAACGAGCTTAGATGGCTATAATGGACTCTGTGCACCAACATGACAGCTTTGTAGACATTGTGCCATAATTCCACTCTGCTAATTGTAAATTAATTGTGTAATTAGTGTAATGAAGCATAGTCTAGTCGAAAATCTCTTCCTAGTTCATATACAGCCAAACCTCTTCATTAGCCGCATGATCTGGAAGAGCGAATTATGAAGGGCATAAGATGCTTCTTGGGGCCTGAAGACGGGGCGAAAAATGAGTGTAGGACATCCAAGACAAGTTCTTCCTCATCTAATAATGCAATAGGCGGATAGCAGAAAACTTAGTCTCGCGTAGGAAGATAAAAATTTAGCTCATCCGCCCCTGGGGGATAAAATGCCTTGACAGCCTCATTTCTCATCATTTTTCGTCTATTTTTATGTATCACTTGGGCTAATTTAAACAGTTCTATCAAAAAATAGCGTTTTATCTAACTAAAATATGGGCTGGAATTGGACTGAACTGCAGGCCTATAGTGCATTTTTGAATTTAGATATATCCATGATTATTTTTCGATTTTGAAATATGGCAAAGGGGCCTATTGGGTTCATTTCGTATTGAGAATCAGATTAATCACTATTAAGTTTAGAATGAAGTTGAATCAAGTAAATGTGTACAATTTAGTGATACTTTAGTGCTAGGGATATATTCACACAGGCGAACAACGCATGCAAGGCTCTCATCAGACATTTTCTCCAACCATAGTTAAAAAAAGAAGCACAAGATTCGATAACTTAATCCTAACATAAATAATTCTGAAGCCCCTATAGGTAGTCCAGGGCTCCTATAATTAAATACAGGAAAACTCCGGGACCAAACTACAATATTCACGAACATCAAGTAGAATATGATTAATTAACGCTAGGATATAGTTATGGCTAAAATGTTCTCAAGGATGCATCGTTTATGATGATGATGAGTCTATGATGAAAAATGGCTTTATAATTAATTTATTTAGCACCCTTGGTCGCCTGGTAACTATTTCAGTGACGGTTGAAATCCCCAAGATGAATTGAAAAGAAAACTTATTCATACCCCAGAGTTTCACCATGCCATGTTATCCCAAAAGTGGTTCCCTCCTCTGAGCGTAATCCAGAGCCCAAATAGGAGTCTGACAAGAAATCAGCGCTAGAGATATTATTTTCTACACAATATGCCCCTGGTACCAGAGAAACTAGTGGCTGCAGGTGAAGCGTGAAACGGATGCAATTGAAACCTAAAAGCTGCATCCTCCCCTAAAGCACGTATGCCTTTGATCCTGTAATGTTTCCTTCTCTCTCAGAGATAGTTTTTACTTAGTATCCTGCATTCGTTCATCTTATTCAGAAGGTTCTTTATTTCATTAATTATAATTGACTACCTAATCTTCCGTTTAGCTGTGAAGTTCCCATATCCGGCAAAACATTGGGATTTCAATCACTCTATCTGGTGTCCTGTAGCAACCACATGTTCAGCCACTTCCGATTTCTGAATCCATAAAGCTTTGCATGTATTTATGTGTTCTGATAGTTTCTTATGTATGGGTCGACAAGTCTCCCTCACATAAACTCTACCGCCTGAGCACAAAACCTTATAACAACGTGATCAGCAGGGGCATGATCGAGAAAAGCGTTATTGTTTCTTTATACCTTGACTTGACTCCCCATTTCCTCAATAATTCACCTATCTTTCTTGGAAGCTTGTAGGAATGCCGAAGAGTTGTCTAATTCTTTGTTTTGTCCAAAATAATTGCTTTCCTTTACCCCATTTTTCAGTATTTGGAAATTGTTAACGATCAATCCTACAGGATAATTGTTATTAACTAAGATTTTTCTTAGCCTTTCTAACTCCTGCTCTTGAGGATTTTCACCTCGTTCATGAACTAGCATGTGTTTTCTAGAGAAAAAGTGCGATATTTTTTCCGGTTGCTGTCCATCTACACCAAAAGTTTCCAGTGATCATAAAAGGTATTCTTCAATTGCTCTAATGCTTACCTTGTCTTAATTTTCCCTGATCTCTTGTAAACCAAACTCATTTAGTAGATATTTTAGTTTCTAGGTTTAATCCATTCTGCCAGTGATGAAAGCCAGTAGAGCCTATCCGAATCTATTAATATCGGAACATGTTTTTGCAATGTTCTCTCAAGTTGTTTATTAAATAAATCCGGGATGTCCCACTTTTCATGTGATGCTATTATCGAATTTAATTATCTGGGCACTCGATTCAGTAAACTATTATAATTAGTTTAGTAATTAGACCCTAATTACCATGGTTGAGGCAAATATCAACATTTTTATTTACCGAGTGACTACCTGATTATAAATTAATGTGTCTCTTTTCAAAATCTTGTTTATGAACCCTTTTGGGGATTTAAGAATAGACGCAAATTCTTATAAGAATGTATATTCCAATGTTGAGTTGTCCCGAAAAAAAAAGATTTAGGAGACTAAGCACTATTATAAAATAGAAATTAGAAAGTTGCTTAACGGTGGAGATTTTAAAAGGAAGTGAGATGTTATTTTAACAATCTAAGCTAGTTGCTAACAAATGTTGAGCAAAATATTGAGCTTTTAAAGGTGCTGGTCAACAAATTATAACCTATTTTATACAAAATCAAGATGGCATTCGAACCAATATAAAAGAGGCTGCAAGTATGACAGGAAAGATGATGTAGAAACCAGATACAGACAAATCGCTGTAGTTGATTTGTGCTAAATAATTGAGATATGGTTGGCAACGCTGAAGAAAGAAATTTTATTACAATCTGGATTTATTTTTTTAATTTTGAAATGCTGTGAAACGCTGGAAAATAGGCGAATTTAATAGTAACTACCAAAGGTAATCCTCCAAATAACGTGAAATAAATGTCAGAATAAGATAGTACATGTAGAGGCAAATTGTACAAAATCGCAACCATCTTCCATCTGAAAGATATTTTGGATTCCAAGCTCTGAGAGCTTTGAACTGCTATTTCTTTAAGTCGATTTAGTATAAATAGGCTAAAGGCTGCTTTTACCGGACGGTTCTGGCCTAGGGACCTAGCTCTTGGTTATACGCTACGGAGATACGAGCTCAATTCAGATTCAAGCTGGTGCTAATTTGCAAATATTCTCTAGATGTAAAGACGCAATGTATCTCCTAGAGGTAATAAACATCAAGTATGTAATCGTATTGCTTGCCAACTGTCTTACTTTGCCCAGGCGAGGATGAATGAAAGTCAGGCAGGAAAATATCCTTGGCTGGTGTGCAGTTAGCTCCGCAACTTGGCCTTCCAAGCTTCATATTATGCGTCGAAGGAGGAATAATGCTCTCCAAAGCGTCGGCCTCATTTGGCGCCGAGTATATGGTTCGCAAATGCGGCTGTAGAAGCATAGATGAAGGCTGTGACAAAGGCCCGACATTTGGGGCGTTGGAGGAGCAAGCAACAGTTGGGGTGGAAGCGACGAAAGATGCGGATGAAGAGGCAACAGGAAGTGGATTGTGCTGCAGGCGTGAGGTTGGATTAGCCGCTGCCTGACGAGAAAGGGCACGTGTTAGCCGATCAATTGCAATTGTCAATTTCTTCTGATGTCCTGAAAACAAATAAAGTAACCAAGATAGAAGAATATAATTATACGAAAATAACGAGGAGATTAATTTGCTTGAATGGCATTCTGTGCTCTGCGACCCAAGGGAATTTGTGGCAGTATTAACGTAGTGGTTGATGTGTCGAAATTATACGCCGCACTATCATGGATCAAGTTCCACTGAAGATGCTCGAAAGACCTACGGGAAATCGAAACTGGAGTCCAACCTGGATGAGAAGACCCTTTGGGAAAGCAAAGCACTACGAACTCAATGAAAATTTCAGCTTTGTTCATAGTATTGGGGGAAATTTTAACTGCCAGTCCTTCATCACGTTAAACGAAATAAGACGAATACATCTGATAACATATTTGCAGGTAGTCCGTAAACCCTACTTATAAACGAACAATAAGTAACGCAGTCGATTATTAGAGCAAATATAACTTTGCTTCATGGACAATCTCTCCAAAGAATGTGATGGGAAAATGGTTGGCCTCCCTCCAAATGCAAATCTGTCCTGTCAGCCAAGCGCACTCGTGGCAATGTGGCGGAGTAGATGACGTGTCGAGTTTACATACCGCACTGTCATGGTTCAAATCCCGCTGGGGGTGTTGATAAGACCGATGCGAAGTCGAAACTGCAGTCCACCTCAGCCTGGATTAGAACAAGTTTTGGGAAAACAAGGCTCTATGAAATTCAATGGAAACGTCAAC